CATTGTTATAAGATAAAACATGTTTAACAATAAAATATTTAACATTGTTATAAGATAAAACATGTTTAACAATAAAATATTTAACATTGTTATAAGATAAAACATGTTTAACCATTTTATTGTTAAACATGTTTTATCCTATAACAATGTTAAATATTTTATTGTTAAACATGTTTTATCTTATAACAATGTTAAATATTTTATTGTTAAACATGTTTTATAATAGAGATGATAGCTATAGTGATGTCCTGTTTTAATGTCTCAATAGATCACAAAGATGATAGTTATAGTAATGACCTGTTTAATGTCTCAGTAGATCATAGAGATGATAGCTATAGTGATGTCCTGTTTTAATGTCTCATAAGCTGTTTTCATATGAATCATCAAATAACTGTCTATTCAACTACATTAAAAATTATACGTTCTAGCCAGATATATTGAGACATTAAAACAGGTCATTACTATAGCTATCATCGTGACCTATTGAGACATTAAAACTGGGCATTGCTATAGCTATCATCTTCATGACCTTTTGAGACATTAAAACAGGACATCACTATAGCTATAATTTCTGTGATCTACTGAGACATTAAAACAAGACATCACTATAACTACCATCTCCGTTATCTACTAGACATTAAAACAGGTCATTACTATAGCTATCATCTTCGTGGCCTATTGAGACATTAAAACAGGTCATTACTATAACTACCATCTCAGTTACCTACTTTACTAGATCACTAGGATGCTAGTTATAGTGATGCCCTGTTTGAATGTCTACTAGATCACTAAGATGCTAGTTATAGTGATGCCCTGTTTGAATGTCTACTAGATCACTAAGATGCTAGCTATAGTATGCCCTGTTTGAATGTCTACTAGATCACTAAGATGCTAGCTATAGTGATGCCCTGTTTGAATGTCTACTAGATCAATAAGATGCTAATTATAGTGATGCCCTGTTTGAATGTCTACTAGATCACTAAGATGCTAGCTATAGTGATGCCCTGCTTTAATGTATAATAGGTCAGTAAGGTGATAGCTATAGTAATGACCTGTTTTAATGTTTAGCTATAGTGATGCCCTGTTTGAATGTAGCATTTTAGTGATCTAGTAGACATTCAAACAGGGCATCACTATAGCTAGCATCTTAGTGATCTAGTAGACATTAAAAGGACATACTATAGCTATTTATACTTTGTATTTGCCGAAAATATACAGTTTATCAAGAAAAGTGTTGAGGATTAGGTCAGTGGTCTTAACGTTACATATTCTTCAAGCATTTAAACTAATATAAGTTATTCGTAGTGAGTATAGGCTGTTTGTGACACCACGAATAGAGGCTGTAGCTCACCTCTACAAAAGGACTGGTTGATTTGGGTTACCCTTTCCAAACTTATTGGTGCAGAGTAAAAGTCTCCGAGACTGCTCTAATTCTATGACATGTGGCAAATCCAAAAATATACTGGGTCTTACGTTTCTCTTTATCAGCAAAATTCACAATTTTGTTGATGAGACAACCCTTCAATATACTTATATAAACAATGTTTATATTTTCTCAGCAGCCAGTATAACTCTTCCTCGCTTCAAACCAAACCACATTAGCTTGAATCAAAATAGCTACAACACGTAAGACTAGTGGAGAGAAGAAAAATAAAAACGTTTACAGGTTTAACTAGTGTTCTCCACTGAAGTACCTTACAACTTCCTCCGCTCGATTGATGAATATGAGCTTAAGGATTAAGAAGGCCTTGTTTTATACTTAGGAATTAATATCAACATCCGATAAGAGCAAGTTATACGCTTAAAACGAAACTACAAATTAACTTGGTAGTCACTATAGCTAATTAAATATACTTTTCTTACGTTCTTATTCATAATTAAAATGTACTGTTTCATCAGTCGGGTACCCTCGCTTTCAACGACATTTTCGGTCGTAAACCTAATAATATCTCCCGAGGTTCGGCCCCCTTAGGATTGTTTGTTTGTTTTTTGAATTTCGCGCAAAGCTACACGAGGGCTATCTGCGCTAGCCGTCCCTAATTTAGCAGTGTAATACTAGAGGGAAGGCAGCTAGTCACCACCACCCACCGCCAACTCTTGGGCTTCTCTTTTACCAACGAATAATAGGATTGACCGTCACGTTATAACGCCCCCACGGCTGAAAGGGCGAGCATGTTTGGTGTGACAGGGATTCGAACCCGCGACCCTCAGATTGTTCCCGGTGGGACAACGGTAAGTTTATCGACTTCAACTCTAAAATCCAGGGTATGATTCCCGCAGTGACCACAGCAGATATCTTAATGTGGCCTTGCTCAAACAAAATCACAGTAAATAAAACACTCGCCCAAATATGTAAAGAAGCGCAAGAGAAATATACTTTAAAAAGACAGGGATTAAAAACGGAATAAGACATTTAAAAAAAAGCCTCCCACTAGTACAGCAGTAAGTTTGAAAGCTTATAACGGTAAAAACCTGGTTTCGATACCCGTGATGGGCACAGAACAGCTAGCACATCGTGTAGCTTTGTGCTTATCTACAAACAAATAAACAAACATTTCAAAATTAGAAATAACGTGTATAAGAATATAAAAATATTCCTGTTATTAAAGCAATGTTAAGATTTAGAGAAACACAATGAATTAAAAGCCAAGAAAAGTTAAAAACGAGTATTAAGCAATTAATTATCAAAAAATATAAAAACAGTGGAATTTTATCAATAGTAGTATTTATAAAACAAATAAGAATACCAGTTTTTATCAATGAGGAAGAAAATGAAGTTTTACAAATGTATCACATGAGTTTAAAAATTACTTTACAAATGTCACAGGAAATATGTAAAGATACAAAACAGATAATGTATAGAAGTTATTAAATATAGCATCTAAAAGTTTTAACGGTTTGTCAGTAAAATAAGAAAATAATATAAACAAACTTGAAGCATTAACAATAGAAGATTTGTACAATTGTAATAAATTATTTTTCATACTGTGTTCGATTTATTTTAAAACTGAAATTATGTTGGATTGGTATAATAAAGATGTGCAATCATTACGACATTAATTTTGAAATGGTAAAATACAACAATATCGGTTGCTAAGCAACATTTCATCAGCAGAATGTACAATTGACATCAAATTTATTTGTCGTAGCGAAATAATTAATTAATATTGTATATTATATAAAACTACAATATATTCAAAATAATTATTAGTTATCATATCAAATACTGTTTTTACCCTGATGGACTATTCTACTCTTGAGTAATTGACATTTTATATCTTAAATTATTTGAAATATTTGTATTAAATATTGTTTTTATCTTGATGGACTATTCTACTCTTGAGTTATTTACATTTTATATCTTACATTATTTGAAATATTTGTATTAAATATTGTTTTTACCCTGATGGACTATTCTACTCTTGAGTTATTTACATTTTATATCTTAAATTATTTGAAATATTTGTATTAAATATTGTTTTTATCTTGATGGACTATTCTACTCTTGAGTTATTGACATTTTATATCTTAAATTATTTGAAATATTTGTATTAAGTATTGTTTATACCCTGATGGACTATTCTACTCTTGAGTTATTGACATTTTATATCTTAAATTCTTTGAAATATTTGTATTAAGTATTGTTTTTATCTTGATGGACTATTCTACTCTTGAGTTATTTACATTTTTTATCTTAAATTATTTACAATATCTATAAAATAAAACTTTATGTTATTTTGGTATTTTAAATGGGGGGGGGGGAATACCTTCTCTGGCTGCATATGCTTTTATTTCTGTGCTCGCTTTAATGATAGGGCTCGAGAGTAAAGTCAACAGTTCAGTTTACGCTCAGTTATCACACTGTTAATGCTCGTGAAAGATGTCTCGAGCTAGTGTTGCGAGGCTTTAGTCTATTACATAGTGACACAGTTTTCGTAGAACCTTTTAATAAATGCGGCCAGCGAATTGCACAAAGTGTTTAGTAATAAGTTATAGAGAAAAACACAGGGATAATAAGAATGGGCGTTATAGAAGAAGGGGATAAGGGCCATCGGAAAAAGTGTAATCTCCCCGATAGGAATAGAAACGCACCAGTAAACTCAACTCCGACGTCAAGGAATTCATCTATTCACCGTCACGAACAGCAACGCCAAAGTTCACAAAATGCTGAAAAAGACATTACTCAACACGTGGCCAACGCAATGTCCGATCAACAAACACGAGATGGATCTTGTCGATGTGTGAAAGGTCGCGTGGTGCTACTATGGGTTTTATGTGTACTTTCGTTAGGCCTCTCGGGTCTCTGTGGTCTAAGACTCTTTCACGTGGAAGAAAGGCTTACCTCGCTGGAGACAAAGTACAGACAACTGGAGATGCAACATCAAGAACAGCAAGTTAGTAAAAAAAGAATTAAATTTCAAAACCCCCTTTCTTTTGATGAAACTTTAAATATGTTAGAAAAAAAAACCTCTTGATTATGACTCGACTGTGTGTGTGTGTGTGGTTTCTTAAACTAAATTTTCTGCATAAAATAATAAAATTCAATATATTATTCTGGTTCGTGAGGAAGTTGGAATTAAGCCTAAACGTAACTGTATGAGAGTAAACATTTGTCAAGATGTTTTTAGCAGCTATTTTGTTAAATGTAATTCAGGAGTTTGTGTACTATTCTTTCAAGTTAAGGAGTTAGATTCAACATATAAACTGTAAGTAAATAAGTTTAGAACTTTCCTGCATAATAGATTTTAAACACTACAAATTAAATGTAGTCAGAATGTTGTTACATATATATGTGTAAATCAGAAGTGTTGCCCGTGGGTTTGCCTTTAACGCCTATAGATTTTTTTAACTGATCTAAACCAAATTTGGCACGCGCCCTTAGGATCCCCAAAGGGTGTCATAAGGGGCGGCGTTCGATCTGATTTTCCCACATCACTCCCTGAGGGGCCAGTGTCTATTTATGTGTCCGCCTTTGATAGTTATAGTTTTTGTTCTGAACCAAACTTGGTATGCACCGTTAGGGGCGCCCAGGTAGTGCCATGGGAAGGAGGTGGACGTTCGATCTGTACCTTTGGTGTTACTCCTTTACGTCTGTCTGTGTATTCACCTTCCACACCTATAGTTTTTAACCAACTAAAACCAAACTTGGAATATTTCCACAGATCTCCCAACGGAGTGACATGGGAGGGGTGGGGGTCGACGTTTGATATGACCCTCCCATTTACTCCCAGAGTAGCCATTGTTTATCTTTCACGCCTATAGTTTTTGACCGATCATAACCAAACTTGGCACATACGGCTCATCGTTGGTCAGTGTTAAGTTTACGGACTTACGACGCTAAAATCAGGGGTTCGATTTCCCACAGTAGACAGAAGCAGATAGCCCCAAAACAAAACAAACAACAAAAATCACCAAAGGAATGATATGGGAGGGGGTCGATATTCGGATCTGACCTTCCTTCTGTCACTCCGGTGTTCTTCTGTGTGCCCCTTGGTTTAAACCAAACTTCAAAGGCATCCTTTTGACACCCCAAGCACATAGGGGGTCGGCGTTCGGATCCTATGTCAGTCCCAGGGGGCTATCTTTGCTAGTCGTCCCTAATTTAGCAGTGATAAACTAGACAGGGATTCTCAACTTTTCCTCCATCATTAACCCCCTCGGCTTGATGTATTTCTCCA